GAAGGAAGGAAGGAAGGAAGGAAGGAAGGAAGGAAGGAAGGAAGGAAAGAAAGAAGAAATTCCCGGTGGAGAACAACTGAGAAGGACGCCCAGGTTGGTCTCCGTCTCTGTGCACACATTACACACCAGCTCACGCAGTATGTACACACACACAAAGTTAAACTATGACTCTTAGAGCCAGAGAGATGGCTCAGTGGTTAAGAGTTGTGTCTGCCCACAGGGTGATGGTGGCGCAAGTTGAGATCCCAGCACTCGGGAGGCAGAGGCAGGCAGATCTCTGAATTGGAGGTCAGCCTGGTCTACAGACTGAGTTCCAGGACAGCCAGGGCTACACAGAGAGACTCTGTCTCAAACAAACAAACAACAAAAGGAGTGTGTCTGCTCTTAGGACTTGAGGTTCCTTCCAGCACCCACATCAGGCAGCTCACAACTGCTTATGACTCCAGATCCAGGGGATCCAGTGCCCTTTCTTGGCATCTACCAGCAACTGTATTCAAGCAGGTACAGACACACATGCATACACATAATTGGAAATCTTAAAATATGATTTTTTAAACAAAATATGGTTCTTATGCACTAGTCACCAGTGTTTAGATGTAAGAGGCTGGACTGTAGGGTTCCTGGCTAGACCCTGCTCTTCGTGTGGCCGGCCACGGTTGATGGTCCCTTCTCAGCTCTGCTGCAGGACTGTAGGGTTCCTGGCTAGACCCTGCTCTTCGTGTGGCCGGCCACGGTTGATGGTCCCTTCTCAGCTCTGCTGCAGAGGAGCCCCTGCTTACCACGGCACAGGCATGACAAGGCCTCAGGCAGAACTAAGGAAAGCCACTGCAAGCCACTATTTCTGGGCCATCAGTTTCTGATTTCCCTGAATCCTCCTGCTTTGCAACAGAACCAAACAATAACTATAAAAACTAAACTCAAAAGAGTGAAACTACAAATTTGTTCTTAAAATCTGTTTCAGAATGTAGTTGAGAGTTTATGATTTATGGTTGAGAAGGGAACAGCAGTTTTTGCCGAGAAAGCCTTAAATTCTAGTCAACCATAACTTGAATTTGAAAAAGTTCTGAAGGCGGCACAGTAGGACCACTCTGCCTCGCTGTATTGGCTGGAGTAAATTATTCATGTTATCTGTGCTGTTTTTGAAGGGGAGGTAACAGGAGCCTGTCAAGGGTTAGTAGGACAGTTGAGAGTGAAAACCGTATTATCTGAAGCGGTCAGAGCATGTGTCTGCATTTTCTCTGCTTTGGTGGCTATGGTTTGTGAAGGGTTAATTACTAATGTGCTCTGAACAACCATTCACCAAGAAATGCCCCAGATAAAGGTGGGAGAAGTGCGGGACATTTGCTGAATAGTTCTTGTTGTCAACATCAAAACATGTAAGAACATGTACATCTGAGCACCTCGGAAAGGGTGGAGATGCCTGCTCCCAGGCTGTAAGGATCAGATAGGGTTCTGTGTGACAATGTGGTGTCATGCTGTTTAGAAGTGGCCTTGTGAACACTGTCACTCGCCTCAGCTGCTCCAAAGCCTAGACTTGTGGTGGCGCACACCTTTAACCCCAGGACTCGGGAGGCAGAGGCAGGCAGGCCTCTGAGTTCAAGGCCAGCCGGTCTACAGAGCAAGTTCCAGGATAGCCAGGGCTACACAGAGAAACCCTGTCCTGAAAATCACACACAAACACTACAAGTGTGCTGGAGAGATCGCCCCATGGTCAAGAGCGCTGGCCACTCCTCCGGAATCGGTTCCCAGAATCGGTTTATAGCTCCCCAAAAGTGGCTCACAGCCATCTCTAGCTCAGTTCCAGAGAAGGGGGCGCCCTCTCAGTCTGCACAGGCTTTGTGTGCACGTGGTGCAGGCAAATCACTCATATACATAAAACAAAAATAAAGTCTGACAAATGCAGTAGTGCTGGTTGAGAAGTGGCTTATAGTTCCAGTACTGAGTCAAATTTCTTTATGAAAGTAATTGTTGTTGTTGTTGTGAATTGAGATAGAATCTCACACTGTGGGCAAAACTAGATTGGGATTCCTTGTGTAGACCAGGCTGGTTTCAAATTCACAGCAACCTTGAGCCCTCAGAGTCCTGGGATTACAGGTGTGCGCCTCTCGCCCTGACGTGAAAGCAATGTTTAAAGTGGGATAAATCACTTTTTAAACAGTGTATGTGTGGAAGCACATGTGAGCGGAAGTACAGGAGGTGCCTGCAGACACTGGGGGAGTCAGATCCCTTTGCGCTCCATGGAGTTCCAGGCAGTTCTGAGCAATTCAGCCTGGTGCTGGGAACTGAACCTGGGTCCTCTGCAAAGGCAGCAATGCTCGTGACTGCTGAGCCGTCTGTCCGGCCCCTGGGTGAATCACTCATAGAAACAACACATGTGCCGAGATTCTAGAATCAGAAAAGAACAGTCATTCTATTCTTAATTTTGTAACCTGAAAAAAGTGTGTGTGTATGGTCATTTCGCCGACTGAAGAAGTGCGTTCTCTGTGTACACACGGAACCGTTGCAGCAGATGGGACTTTTAATTGACAGCAGTGACAGTCACTAGTGATTAGGGGAGTGTGTGAGAAGCACCAGAACTGTCTGGAACTGAGACTCACATGCAGAATGGCAGGAAGCCAGTCCTCTGCTAGCCCAGCCTTGCACACCGCCGAGCTGACCTGGGTGGGCTCCAGAACGGAGTGGTGAGGGCCGAGGACACGGGAAAATCCCTGAGTGTTCGCTTTGGATGGAAAGCAACGGGGAAACTTTGCTCGCTTCTTGTGGTTCGTTGCTCTGTTTGTCTGTGGAGTCAGGGTCCCACTCTGTGGCTGAGGCTGCCTGCTTACTGCAGATTTCCAAGCACAGAGGTTTTACGTATGTGTGTGTGTTCACAAGCGTGTGCTATTTACTATGACTATGCCAGGTTAGGAGTGGTTTCACAGTGAGTCATGCTTGTGCAGAGAGACACATACGTGGCTAGAAGGGCCACCCTGACTAAGCAGGCGGCCTCGGACTGAAAATGACAAAGTGAAACGGGTCACTTACTAGGCTTTTGTAGGCTTTTAACAGATCTGACAGGCTGGAGAGATGGCTCAGAGGTTAAGAGCACCTGCTGTTCTTCCAAAGGTCCTGAGTTCAATTCCCAGCAACCACGTGGTGGTTCATAGCCATCTATGATGAGATCTGGTGCCCTCTTCTGGTCCACATGAACACATGCAGGCAGAACACTATAAATAAGTCCTTTTAAAGAGGTCTGACTCCCCGAGTGGTCCAGGGCCAGGGCTGAGCTGGACAGCTGGGTTCAGCAGAAAGGATTTTCTCCCCTTCTAGACAATGTTTCTCTGTGTAGCCGGCACTGTCCTGGACTCACTCTGTAAACCAGGCTGGCCTCAAACTCAGAGATCTGCCTGCCTCTGCCTCCTGAGTGCTGGGATTAAAGGTGTGCACTCCCACTTTCCAGCTGGAAGGATTTTTAATAGACAAGGTACCTGAAGAGCTTTCAGTAATCCATGCTGTGCTGCTCCTAGACTCTGGGTTCAATGGTGACTTTCTGCAGGTTTGTTTTTATTTTTTATTTTTGAGTGTGTTTGGCAGGACACGGTGACGGAGGCTTTATTGACAGAGAGCAGATCAGGACACGGCTGCCCCCAGCTCCCACCCAGGAGCAGCGCGGCAGACTCGTGTGATAGCTATGTTCGCAGGGGCCTACCCTCCAGCATGGAGCAGGCTCCTGTATCAGCTGAACTGAGACGCTTAGAAAGTGGTCCATGGCGCTGACAGTAGCAATTTGGTGCTCACGTAAGTGTGTCTATGGTATTTTCCAGACTAGGTAAAGTGGAGACAAGTTGCAGAACGCTAGGTTCTGGGCTTTAATGGGTGCTTTGCCATGGCCTTCCTGGCGCCCTCCCTCCCCGCAGAGGTTCTATTCCCTTAGGCACAGGGCCAGACCGCTGCCTCATTCGTCTGTGCTTCTTTCTCTCCTACTGCTGACAAATGCTGGCAGTGCCTTGGGGCCCCGCAGCCCCTCAGCGTGAGTCTGCTCCTCCGTTGCTGGGTTTGTTTGTTTTTATCCGGCAGAGTCTTACTGTGTAACCCACACCAGCTTGGGAATTAGTATGCAGCTGTCCTTGATCCCATCGCAATCCCCCCAAATGCTAGCATGACAAGAAGGAGCCGCCACGCCGGCTGACACATCCCTTTTAAATTGACAGTTTCCCTGTCTGTTCCAAGCGAGCGTGAATCCCGGAGGAAGAGAAGGCCGCGTGGCGCGTCTTCAGCTTCCACGAGCTCTCTCTGCCTTCCCCAGCCCGCCCCAAGCTCCACGCCCTGCACGCCCGTCCCTTCTCTGGGCAGCTCGCACCGCCTGGCGCGGGAAGAGCCTGGCAGCCTGGCTCGCGGGTGGCGACGTTGCAGGAAGCTCCCATTCATAAAGCGAACACCTGCTCCTGCCTCCCGCCTTTTCCACCCGCCAGCAGCGCGGGGAGGTTGTCTGGCAACCTCCACGGCGGCCCCGCCAAGCCCTGGCCGCTCCGAGCCCCACGGCCCACGACCAGCCTCGGTGGAGCCGCGGAGACGCACACAAAAAGGCCGACGGAGCGACGCTTTGTAAAGCCAACCTCGCCCTGTGGCGCGGGGCTGTCCGACATCTTGCTTTCAAAGCAGAAGCAGGGAGCGACCGTCGCGCTGGGCTGATGGGGCCTTTTCTGAGCCACTGGCCTTTCGGGGGCTTTCGCGGTGGCCGGGAGTGGCCAGGGCGGAGGCCAGCCGGGAGGGGAGTGGCTCCGGCGGGCGGGGCGCCGCGCTCAGCCCCCGCGCAGCCTCCACCCGAAGCCCGAGCCGCTCCCCACCGCGGTCCGCCCCGCGCAGCCCCCGGCCGGCTCCTGCCCGCCAGCGGCGCCAGGCGAGCCCTCATTGGCTGATCCAGCGCCTGGCTCCGCCCCGCGCCCCGCCCCCGTTACCCTCGCTCTGGAAATTACAACTCCTGGGCGCGCGGCGCGGCGGGCGCGGGAGGCGGCGGGGCCGGGAGGGGATCCCCGAGCCAGCGGGCGCTCGCCCCCTCCCCCGGCCGCCGCTGCAGCGTGGCGCGGCCAAGGTCAGGGGCGCCGCGGGGACCCGCGCGGAGGGGCGAGCCGGGGGGCCCGGGGCGACACCAGCCCGCGAGAGGGCAGCTCCGAGAGCGGCGGCGGCCTCCTGTTATGGGGTGTCTCCCTTTCCGGGATACCTTTCATATTTTTTTTTTTTTTTTTTTTTTTTTTTTTTTTTTTTTTTTTTTTTT